CTAGAGGCTCCAAGGAAATATATATTATTGGCAATAACTCCACTGCAGTTGCTCAGATCTAGAAGGTGTGGGAGCTTTTTCAGACCTAATGTTTTAATCATCAGATGTGCAGTAATTTAGCATCTCAACATATTTTTGAGGTAGAATATAATTTACCTTCTCAATGACACCAAGATAAATGCCCCAATAAGTTGGACTTGGATCCAGCAAAAGTATTTCAATTTTTTTTTTCTTTTGCAAAATTATTATTTATATTACCATAGAATTTTATAAATGCAAATTATATTATACTACTTGACAAATATTATAAAATAGAATATCTTATTGAATTGTTCGATATGAGATCTCAAGATACATATATATAATGTTTAACATTAACATAATACTAACACCGACATAATGTAAACTTTCCTAATACATAACGGAGAATATATATCTAGAGATTTCTTCCATTTAGGCTTCACGGGCTTCACTTCATAGACGGGCTTTAATGCCCCACAACACTTGGTCCGCAAGCTACACGTCGTCTTGCTTCCCAAGTTATCTCCAATACTCCCCCGCACGAAAAACGTGGTACGCAAAATCATCAAGTGAAACACGTATGTCGTGGACAACTTGTCGAGGACGGACAAAACAAGTCAATAGACTCCTCCGGGTGTAAAATTCAATATTCAAAATAGGGATGAAACTTCAGCTCGTCTTTGGTCTAGATAAGCAAAGGGAAAAACATCCCATGGGTGCAATTTGCAACTCCACAAATAATTGTCCTTGACTCGGACAGTCCACAAATCGGACTTAAGGAAAAAAATATTGACCTAAAGAACATGAACGTTCTAACTAGAACTCCATAAAACCACAACCAAACTCTCGCGTAATAGGAAAAACGAAAACACAAATTTTGAGATATTCTAAACTTAAGAATAAATCTCATAAAATAAAATAATGACCCGTGAAAGCCAAACTATGTGTCACACACCATGCGAAAATAATTAGATCTCTCGATAACTCTAGAGTAAAACCATAAAAATTAACCTTAACTCTTGATATCTCTCACACTAAACCAAATCAAATCATAAAATAATATTTTGCTAAAACCAACTAGAACAAATTTAGAAGAAAGAGAAACGTGATATGGAAACCAAAACTATAAATCCCCAGGAAATAATCACATTGACATCAAACTAAACTTTTTATTGTTTCACATCATCATCTCCATCGGGGGGTTTGTAACGCCCGTGAACCAAATTCATGAATTTTGGTCATGTGTCGATTGACACAAACTTTAATTAAACCGACCGTTTTGGTTCAATTGTTGGTTTGGCTGGTTTGGGTTAAGGGAACCCTAGGGCATGATATACAAACGCAAGGAGACGTTTTTCCAGCCAATTTTGGAGAGGAAAAATAGAGGATTTCGTAGGTTGTGAGAGAGAAGAAGAGATTGTTGCTTTGGAGACAGTTTTGGCCCGTTTTAGAAGAATAGAGGAACGGACAGTCTAATCAGATCAGATTGGAGTGAAAATTCTAGGGTAAGTTCTCCACTCTCATATCTAGTTTCAGGCCAAATCTTTTTGTCAATTGGAGTAGTATTCCGAGAGTTATCGTTCTTTTTCTAAGAGTTGTTTCTGCAGTTTTGGGTCTGCAATCAGTCCATTTCGAGGAAGAATTTCCATCGAACCAGAAGGACTTAGGAGACGATCCGCCTATCTGTGGAAAGCTCTCTCTGGCTGGTTTTCAGAACAGGTTTCTGATCCTGTTTCCGATGTAATCTCCGTTCTCTGTGTTCTTTAGATGTCAACGTGTTGTTCATATTTTCTGAGACTGGAATTTCCTGTTTCCAGTTCCGAACAACGAACTTGCGAGTTGTTTTCTCGTCGTTCTGTAAAGACCCAGAAGACGATCTATGTATCATTGGAAAGCCCCGAGTCTTAGCTTTCCAGAGCCACCGAGTTCGGTTTAATCAGAAATTTGAAACGCATG